TCCGGGGAGCAATTGTCGTTGGGGAGCAAATGTCCATGGGGAGCAAATGTCGCGAGAGCAAAAGTCCGGGGAGCAATTGTCGCGGGAGCAAATGTCTCGGGAGCATCTTTCGTAATACCGGTTTATCTTTAAATGGGCATGTTGCAGGTGCAGCATTTCCAATCAGATAATGAATTGTAATTAGCAGCGGAAAAGTAATTTGGTGTATTGCATGAGTTGCACTGAATGTGTTGAAAATTATTATGACAGCTAGCGCATTTAATAACATCTAATTCGTAGTAATCAGCATTTTCGAAAAAGTTCGGGTTTTCACAATGTGGACACCAGAGATGTTGAAATTTTTGTTTGCAATCAACACATGTTATTGTTCCTCCATGTTTATATTTGTTCGGTCCATCATACCAAAAATTCAAAACATTACAATGAAAACACTGTACCTGCTGGAAATACTGGTTACATGATAAACATTGATATGATATTCCATCTTTCCATGGTGCAGAAGAGTACTGGGCTTCATCACAATGTGGACAGTTGATATGATAAAATGACTGTTCACAAGTGAAACATTTTATAGATGAACCTTGCTTATAATTAGCATTTGAAAAGTAGATAGAACTTTGGCAATGAGAACAGTTTAGTAACTGAAATCTTTTCGTACATGCATTACATGATATGCGATCGCCTTTGCGATACGTAGTTTTAGAAAAGTAATTAGCTTTAGAACAATGTGGACAGTTCATGAGTTGAAACGATTTATTGCATTGAAAACATGTTAGTTTCTGTCCACAATGATAGTCTGCCTTTTTCAAAATATTCGTAGTAAAACAGTTTGAACATCGAACATCTTGAAACAGATTTTCGCATGAAAAACATTTTACTTTTATTCCTTGCTGATGAGTGGCTTTTTCCCACCAATTAGTCACTTTACAATGTGGACAATTAACCTGTTGGAATAATTTTTTACATGAATAACATGTTATTGGAGTACCTTGTTCATAGTTCGTTGTTGTCCAAATATTCGATGTATTACAATGAAAACAATTAACATATTGATATTGCTTTTTACACGACCAACATCGTGTTCTAGTTCCCTGAGGATAATTAGCGTCTTTCCAAAAATTACCCTTCTTGCAATGAGGACATAGCATGTGTTGAAAGTCTTTTTTGCAATAAACACAGGTCTGACAAACACCTTGCTTATAATTAGTGTCTGGAAAGATATTCAACTCCTGACAATGAGGACATAAAAGTTTTTGAAACGATTTTTTGCATTTAGCGCAGTTTACTACAACACCATAATTATAATCTGCATTTTTCCAGACGTTCATACATGAGCAGTGCGTACAATTAATACCTTGAAATTTCTTTTTACACGACGGACATGCGACAACACTTCCTTGCGTATAATTGGCATTTTTGAAGAATATTCCTTCCTTGCAATGCGGACAATTTAAGTGCTGGAAATGTTTTTGACAACTCCAACAAGTATAACGTAGACCTGCGTCATAGTTGTTGTCATTTTTCCAATAATTTTCTTTATCACAATGTATACACTTTACTGCTGTGTATGTTTTACCACAAGAAGAACAAGTGCATTTCCAACCATTGACATAATTCGTGTGTATGTTAACTGTTGCACAATGCGGACATGCCAGTTTTTTCTCCGGAACAGCTATAAAAAAATTGTACATTGCATCTTTATTAAGCATATAAAATATCTTGAGGATGTGGGTCTATCTTATGCATGCCGACATCTACATTCATATCAACATGTATCCACAGTTACACCCACATCCACAGACTCCTCAGTATTTTGTGGAAAAGAAGTGAATTATATAAAATGAAAGTGGCACATAGTCGCATTTGTTCATCCTTATTAAGCTGGGGGCATAGCCTAGACGGAAGGTTCATCGTGTCCTATATTCGTATTCAAAATTAATATTTATCAGCGTGTAAATAGTTCTATAATATACATAAAAGAGAAGTTACTCACAATTATCATTTTTCACTTGTTCGACTGTAGCTGTTTTAATAGCAGGAAGTACAACTTTTGGATTAAGTGTCTCAGTGGTTAGTTTCACTTCCGCCGAATTTAATGTAACTTTAGTGATCGCAGTTGATTTTATAATATTGGGAAGAACAGTCAACATCTTTTTCAGATTTGGATTAACTGTTTCTTCCAGCTGTACAAGCTGAAACCCGTTAAATTGCAGTGGATTATTTCGAACCAAAAGTTTCGTACCAGGCATCAGAAGAATTTCATTTTCAGTAGGAAATGCACTGTATTTACTGATTGACCTACCATATCGACAGTCAATTTGAAATAGAGTGCATTTAGAGTTCTTATCAAGAAAATTTGTTACTACACTAGCATCGGTTGAACCAGATGATGGGCTATGCCATACAATATAATTACCTTTTACATACGTAGAACTAATGTTAGCACGAATACCTCGCCAAACAGTTGCTTTTTCACTTGGCAGCTTTCGTAGGGCTGTACAAAATAATTTTAAATATAGAAAATATGGTTTCAGATGGTTTATATGAGTTGATCGCATAACGGAATTTAGTTTGCCATACAATGGCGAATCCATTGTATACAGATAGATTGCTGCTGATTCTTCTTCGGTAAGACTGTCGGCAGGAGCAGTAGACAATAACTTAGCCGTTGCCGCATATTGCGCAATACCAGGAACCAAATTGTTAATAGGTACTATAGCTTCTTCGAATGACACAAGAGGAGAATTCAAATAACTATCAATAGCATCTCGATCACAAATTGATTCAATATCAGCAAAACGAGTTGAAATTTTTCCTAAAGACATTCTGAAAGTAAACGTTAAACTAAATTAACCTTCTAAAAACAAAAAGTTAATGAATATGAGTACAGGTAGGCAGTAATTTGCAGTACTTTTTAATAATTAACATCTAAAAAAAAATTTTTTTCATGTTACCTAGATCATATAAAATGGTTCTCTTATGATCCTATTAGTATCTTGTAATACGTATATATAACGTTTCACAACATATAAAACATGTAATTTAGTTTTATTTGCCTTTTCTTTTTCACTCAAATCTGCTTGGTTCTTTTTCCTTTTATCATGGTTTTTAATTTCTTATCTTGATGTAAGTATTTATTACTTTCTTCTTTTTTCATCGAAAGATCTTAAGTGTTCGATTATAAACTACTTTTTATTTCAGTATTAATCGGATATATAAGAAACGAAAAAGACTACATCGTAGGATTAATTACAACGTTCTCAGTCAACAAATAACAAAACTTTTGAAGTGTACTGAAACATAGATATATAATAATCCAACTTAATATAATCTAAAATTGTGCTTCAATTTCTTGTAAATTAATCCATGTAAGGTGCAGGAACTGCGAAATCTCACTGTGATTTTTTTCCGTTCATTCATATATGGTTTGATAAAGCTTAAAAAACTGGTCGTGAGTATCCTGAGGATGTGGGTATGATTATATACTGGTGAATGAGGGTATTGGTTTGGATGTAAGTATGGATGCAGGCATGAGTGTAGAATAAATATCACACCAACACCTTTACCCTACCTGCACTCGTACCCTCAAGATGGAATATTCAATAGCTATATGATGGAAAATTGACCGCTAATTGCCTTCGATACTGAATACTGAGGGACATAGAGAAAACGACTTATACTTCGTATGTTAACCCTTTTAGGACCGAATTTATTTTTGGAAATCTCTTCTTTTCAGGAATTTATTGAACCTGACACAAATCTTTACATAAAGTGCTTATGATACTCGTAGAAACAATTTTTCTCATCTATTACACAAAAAGCCAGTTTGCAATTAAAGCATTGTATGGTTGATCGAACTTGCGGTTCGTTTGTGCTACAATTAGAACAACTATTTCATGTTCCCTTGGCAGGCAAATGGATTTCACTGTTCAACTGATCAGTAAGTTGTAGTGTTGATGCTAAAAATTCATACTTCTTTGTTGAAGTAGGTCGGGGTGTGGGTGTGGATGGTTGGGTGTGGGTACGGGTGTTTTCGCTCTGTACAGCCACACCCACCCACCATCAAGATGGTATATCAAATATTTAAAGAACAACGAATGTTAACGAGAGTTTCTTTTCTTTCTTGCCTTTGGTTTGGGTGTGGGTGGGTGTGAGTGTGGGTGTACAGAGCGAAAACACCCGCATCCAAACTCACACGCTCAAAAGGGTACAATAAACGTTTCTAATGACAGTAATATACATGTATTATGTTCGTTAAATTAGGAAATTTTGTCTACAGTATAGAAGTAAAGGAAGAAAAACTATGAGTCATACAGGTACTTGTTGTGTTTTTGGTTGTAAATGACGAAAGCTTTCGCAATACCCCAATTATTTTCAACATAATATCAAATAGAATTATGAGAAAAAAAGGAATGAAGCTCCCGAGTGGATTCGAACCACCTGTCTTCCGGTTAACAGCCGGATGCATTTACCGCTTATGCTACAGGAGCACGTTAACTATTGTATGCAAACAAGTTTTTCTTTTTACCATGAGTATAGCATGCCTTGTAATTATTATTTCACAATTTGTATTGTCAAGATTTAATAGTTTAGCACAAGGAACATTCGGATGAAATGAAAAATCTTGTCAATAGAGATTATTAGATATTTCTGATCCAGCATGAAAATGTTTGACTTAATAATCAGTCACGCTTTAAAACAACTTAAAGGTATGAATGAGGCCATGTATGGAGATGATCAAAGACAAGCAATTCAGACTCGCATGCACCTTAGGATGTCATAGCCAAATATAATTCTTAATGATAATAAGAGTATGCTGTGTGGTGTAAAGATAATATCCACACCCACACCCACCCACCCACTCAAAAGGGTCTATAAATGTTTGAACTCAGTCATACATGATTACTAATGATTTGATTGCTACAAAGCTTCTCTTCCGTTTTTATCTTTAGAATATCATTTTATTCAAGGATACAAAGAATAGACTAACCAAAGCGCGAGACAAGAACGAAAAGTCTATTGATATTGTTCACAATCGGACGATAAGAAGGAATTGGATTGGTACCGATCCATCCTGTCCAATCAGGTGTTTCAAGTTGATTTGGAATGTGAAAATGCTGATTGATTAGATGAAATAATGTGTTAATATTGTTGACAACTGGACCATATGAAGGAATTGGATTTGTACCGATCCAACCGAGCCAGTTCGGAGTATACTGTGTGTGAAATGTCTGATTTATAATATTAAAAAGACGATTTATATTGTTCACTATTGGACCATAATTAGGAATCGGATTGGTACCTATCCACCCATACCAATCTGGTGAATAACACTTGATTTCTCGTGCCATAATATACTATTACTGCGTAGAATTCTTGTGAAATTTGACTAAGTTGTCTAAACGAAATACGTTTTTTTTATTAGGATTTCTTCTGAACATTTACATGTTTACATGACTAGAACTCAGACATTGCATTAGTTAAAATATCTCTCCATCTTGAGAGTATGGTTGGGTGGGTGTGCGTGTGAATGGGGGTATATCTTAGTATACTCACAAACACACCCACACCCCGTGTGCATGCGGGTATGCCAAATGTGAACGCCTACGCATATTCACCCTCACACACTAAATTCGAGAGATTTGAGGCGACTTTAGATATTATTATATTTGCCACTTTAAATATCAATGAAGATGCGAGTTCAGATCTCAAAAACCTTTGCTAATTTTATCTTTCGACATCTATTTCCCGAGCAAACAGAGATTAGGTCTTTCTATCTTCATCTCAACACGCACGCTCGCACCTCTAAAAACATCCACCATCAATACCTAGGTATTTTATCTGCTTTTAGTATCAGGGTTGTATGGATATATTTTCAAGATTTGGCATTGACACCCATGACTTGACTGAGCGTCTGCCACTACGGGTTAAAAGCACAGCTTATCGAGGATTTGTGAAAGAGCATCTTAGTTGAAAAAAATCGATGTATTATTTTGCTTTAAAAGTAAAATTCTTTCTTACCTTTCAGTAGCAAGCGGAATATATGACTGAAGTTTTCGTTGGACTTGTATGCGTTCTTCAGAAAGATAAGCGACAAGCGCATGGCTTCTTGCTCGGCCTCTCTTCAGAAGCTTTTATTTGCATATTACTTTACTATTTCGAACTGATAAGAAGAAAAACAAAAATTTTAGCTGACGCAACAAGTCGTCGCTACTGCAATGCTCAGAAAAATACTGCATTATTTTGTTTCTTGCGATATTAAAGTTAATGTAAGAAAAATTATTGAGTGGGTGAGGTTGGCTGGAAGTGTTGGCGAAGATTGGTGTGAGTGTGGAGATTCTATTTCATTCGCTCACACCCTAGGGAGTCATTCATTTTGTCTGAGGTAAATGACGAAATATTTATCATGGAAAAAACCGACTTTTTACATATATATATATATATATACAATAAATATTCAATTTTATATTATATACGATAGAAAATAAAATGAATGGTGATGAGCAACAAACTGATTTTGAAAATGAAGAGAATATAACTATTATTTGTTTTGATCCAAATAATGAATTCAATGATCATATAGAAGATTTAAAACAACAAATCAATGATTCAGTTATATTTTATAGTGAACTTGAATTATATATTAATTTTATTAAATCAATTGTCAATAAAACAATCTTTCTGATTATTTCTCCTTCATCTATTTCTCAAATTAATAATTTTAATCCAATTAAAAGTATTTTTTTATTTGATGTATCAAACAATTCAAGTGAGTGTTTATCATTTGAGGATTCAAAAATAATTGGTATTTTTGATAAATTTGATTTATTACTTACAGCAATTACAAAGCAAATCAATTTAATTGAGACGAAAATGTGTCAATGCTGTTTTTTTGATGAAATTCAATATGAAAATAAAGATTTATCGAAACAATCGAATAGTTTTCTATGGCATCAACTTTTCCCTGATGTTCTCTTACATTTATCATCTGATCAACAGTTTGAAAATGTAGATCAAAGTATCTTGCAACAATTCCCTTGGATTAATGATTATGAACCAAAGGAAGCTGTACGATTGTTTATCAAATATCCATCACTTCGAGAATTTATTAACAAAGCTCTGAAAAATGAAGATATTAAACAACTTTATATGTTACGATATTTTCTCAGTGATTTAATACAAAATCTTCAATTCGGTAAAGAAAATCGAATTGTCTATCGAAGAATGTTTATATCTTGTAGTGAATTTAATCAAATACAAGAACATAATGGTAAACTTATTATGATGAAAGAATTTCTAACAGCAAATACTGATCGATCATCTTGCTATGCATCATCAACAAAACAAATTTCAGTACTCTTTGAAATTGAATTGAATAAAAATTCAATGTTTGCTGATCTTGAGTTATCTAATCAAGAAACGATTTTATTTAATTTAAATTCAACATTTCGAATAGATAATATTCAACAACAGAATGATCAATTATGGACTATTAAATTAATTTCAGTTAATGATGGACAAATAATTAAACAAAAATATATTGATGATACACGTCGTCAGTTTGAAGATTTAAGTATTTCAATTATTTTTGGTAAATTAATTTGTGATATGAGTCAATGGAATCAATCACAGGTATATTTTGAATATTTATTAAATAATTATTCACATACGGAAGATTTAGCATGGATTGAACATGGTCTTGGCCAAGCTCATCATTGGAAAGGAGAATGGAATGAATCAAGAATATATTATGATCGTTCCTATGAACGGATGATGAAAAATGAACCAGCTCGTATCAAAGATTCAGCTGTTATACTTTCTGATATTGGTAAAATATTATATTTACGAGGACAAATGGAAGAATCCTTTAATTTTTATCAAAAAGCATTAGCAATTCAAATGAAATATTATTCTCCTTATCATCCACATATTGCTATTAGTTTATATAACATTGGTTTGATTCTTCGAGTAAGACAAAAAGAGGATGAAGCATTAGTCTTTTTTCAACAAGCATTATTAATTCAAGAGAAATATTATGATTCATTTCATGTAGATATGGGTAGAAGTTTAACTCGGATTGCTTTATGTTTAACGAAGGAAGAAAGATATGACGAAGCTCTGATTTATTATCAACGGGTTCTAGCAATATACGAAAAATATTATCCATTAGGCCATGTATCGATTGCACTTACTCTCAGTTGGATGAGTGATATATATTATCACCAAGAAAAGTACAATCAAAGTTTTACTCTTATTCAACAGGCGATGATAATGCAGAAAGGATTTTATCCAAATGGTCATACTGATATAGCGATGAGCTTGCTCAATATGGGAAACTTTGAATATTATCGAAAAAATCACAGTAAATCATTAAAAATGTATGATCAAGGATTGTTAATGTTTAGAAAACTTAATTTATCTAATCATATATTGGCTGTTACTCTTTTGGATAATATTGGTAAGATATACATAGATAAAAAAAATGATTGTGATAAAGCTCTAGATTATTATCAACAAGCTCTTAACATACTCGAAAAATATTATCCATCATATCTAGCCCGTATCGCTGTCATTCTTAATGATATGGCTTATGTTTTCTTTAGACAACGGAAACTTGATAAAGCACTCGATTTCTATCATCGATCAACAAACCTACTCAAAGAATATTATTCATCTAATCATGTTGAAACAATTTCCTTTTTAAGAAACTATGATAATATCTTGGAAAATGATGAATTCATTAAACATCACGAACAAATATTAATATCTCGAAAGGAAAACGGTACTACACGAGGCAATACTTGCATCGGAAGCAGTTTCAATAGAATTAGTCATATATGTCTCAGACAAAATCAATTTAGTGAAGCTTTTGATTTCGCTCAACAATCAATAACGTTTACAGAAAAATCTAATCCAACTGATTATAGAAGGATTGCTGATAATCTTAGCAATATTAGTGAAGCTTTAATGTATCAAAATAAATTTGATGAAGCATTTGATTTTGAACAGAAAGCATTAAATATTCTAAAAATTCATTATCCTACCAAAATTATCAAAATTATTGAGAGTTTAAATCAAATGGGTGATCTCCAACGAAAACAAGGAAAAAATAACGAAGCTTATGATTTCTTTCAAGAAGCTTTGACAATTTATGAAAAAAATTCTCCACATGTCAAAGCAGATATTCCATTTACTCTTATGAGTCTTGGTAGGATGAAATATAAAGAGAGAAATTTTGATGAATCTTTGAATTATTATTATCAAGCAGCAAATGTACTTAAAGAAGTTTCTTGTACTAAATATCGTCGAATAACTGATAGTTTATATTGGGTAGGACGTAATTATTATAAGAAACAATCTTATGATCGTGCAATTGAATTTTATGAACAATGCTTAAGAATTGATGAAGCTAATTCTGTTCCAGGACAGTTAACTACTGTTGAGTTTCTTAGGAGCTTAAGTGACATAAAACGAATTCAACTTCAGTATGAAAGTTCCCTAGTATACGAACTAAACTGTTTGTTAATACGTGAAAAAGTTCTACCACCCAATCATCAAGATATTGGTAAAAGTTTAAATAATATAGGTTTATGTTATAAACATCTTAATCAAGGTAAATTGGCACTTGATTATTATAAACGAGCATTATTCGTTTATGAACAATGTCCATTAGCTACGAATGATCGATGGACTATAGAATTAAAAATTGCAGAACTTTCTATATAAATGAATCAATTCAACATTTAAATCTTCAGCATTTGTTCAAAACAACGATAATAATACAATACAGACATTAAACACGAATTTGATTAAATAAATTTAATAAAAGTCATGAAATTATATATTGAGGGTGGGTGTGAAGATATGTTGTTAATAGTTATTTAAATTTTTCATATATGATTGCAGAGTGTAGACGTAGGTGCAACCTAAATTATTGCTGAGGGTGAAGATGTAGGTGCGGATCTTCTTCAATCTCTACTCACTCACAATCACATCCACCTCCACCCCTTCGATGAGCACCAACATTACGAAGTACAGTTAATATTTTTACACGAATATTTAGTAAATGTTCAGGATTATTACGATTAGATTTTGTGTCAAGTAGAAGTTTAGAGATATCATTAATATAATTTTCAAAAGCCGATCGAACACTTTGCTCATCCGATTGTCTTTGATCTTGTTGACGATTTTCATTGGCAGTAGAATTTTATTGAATAGTAAAAATAATTGTAAATACACCAAAGACAACCGAAAGTAAAGCAGCTAGAAGAAGTTTACTTATCTTTAGACAATGACCGCCGATTTCTTCCGATGGAAAATTAAAACCATCAGAGGAAGTTTGACGAGATTTCAATGATAATTTCATTATGTGTGTGAAAGAAAAAAATAAAGTCTATTTTTGATATTATACGAAGGGATTTATTAACTATTGAGTCAGATTAAAACATTTTTCTTATCAAATAATCTACATTATTTTAACTAATATCCTAACGTTTTTATTTGATTAAAGAAATTAGTCATTGTTTAACGTCTTCTTTTGTATTATGACTTAAATAATAGTCGACATTTAATGATATTTTATATTTGTCATCTACACTAACGAGGACATCACCCGAAGTGATTCAAAACGTTTTCGCTGAGATATTTGACTCATATGTAGGACGTGCTGTGGGTATGAATAACTTTTCACTCTATTCACACCCCAGCCATCTTACACTCAACCATATCGTAAATATTAGTTTATATGAACAATGATCTTCTTTAGACAGATACAAATATGTAAATAAAAAAAAAGTTAATTTTGAAATAGTGACAGAAAATCTGTTCTTTATTAAATGAATGAATGAATACACATATTAATCGAAAAAAATTAATACAAATAAAGCATTTAAGTGCGCGTAGTTAAGGGAACGATTTGTCGTTGATGTCTTTTCCAAAAGAACAAATTGCGAAGTTTTTGTTTTAATCCAGGTAATGCCATTAGAGTAGCATACGGCAAAACAATTGCAGGAACAAATGTCAAATCTCCAATATATGGCATGATAACATTACTGCCAAAATCTGGATAACCACATGTTTGTACAAGAAAAATGATAACATAAGGAAGATCAAACATAAGATAAGTTGCAGATACAAGTGTAAGTTGAATAGTCATTTTTCGACATTGACGCCATGTTACTGCTTGTTGTAAACGTTGTTTTTGTCTAATAAATCGTAATAAAAGAGTAATACTAAAAACAACAATAAGAAGTATGGGAATTGTGTAATCTACGAATGAATCATATACAAGAAACCAATTCGGAATTGTTGCATAAAAGCACATGCCACCACAAAGATCAACTGTACTGTCAAAATCCTCATCACATGGATAAAAAAAAATTAAATAGATATATAATAGTGGTGCATACAAAGCGAAAAATATGAGTGGAATGTAATGAATGAGAAGAAGTTGGCGTTTAGTTCGAACAAAATTTGAATGAAATACAAGAATATGTCTTTCAAATGATGCCCACATCATTAAATAGATACCTCCATACCATATTCCATTGTCTACCAATTGCCAAAAACGACAAAGAGTAGGAGAAAAAAGTGATACATATCCAACACGATCATAATCCAATGTTAATGATAAATCAAATGTAATTCCAAGAAAATTGTAGAACAATAAGATTACAATGACATGATTGTGAAGAGCTTTACGTGAAGATTTTTCAAAAATAATATGGTAGCCAACAAAGAAATAACAAGGAATAGACAAGATTTGACCCAATAGGAGTAATGAAAACGAGACTGTTGGCCAATATGATGGAACACTGGTTAATGTTGAAGGAAAACTTCCCATTTTTCGAAGAAAATATCTATAGAATTTTAATCATTGGTTTTCTTAGATGTAAATAACTTTTACTTATCGAAATTTTATGCTAAGAAACAACTTAGTCTTATAAAAACACTATACTAACGAAATATCTATGCAGAAAATTTGACAAGGTTGTACTATTTCTAATGTGTCTCTATTTAATACGTCCGCATATTATATAAATACATGCAAAAGTAGATTGCAATGACATCATATATATGTCTCAATATATTATAATCAAAAAGAATGTTTTATAGGAATAATATATTCATCGGACTGAAATAAAGGATAAAATTAGAAAATGTCATTACTTCAAAATACTCAGAGTTTTTTTTTCAATGAGAATAAATGTCATAGCTCATGGAATGTTAATTGCATATTGTCGTAATGACGTAGTTCTCTCACTAAAACAGTTGTCAGCGTGACCCTGACCGAATTGAAATGTTTGTCATGATCTGTAATACCAATTCCTACCAATTAAATGTAATTTATTTTTGTAGAAAATTTAGAAGAAAAATTAAATAGAGAACATACATCACGTTCAAAGCGTTTGAGTAATTTCAAGTTCGCTCTTTATTACCATACATTTCTCAGTTCGTTCAAGATAAGGAGAATATCGAAAAAAAAAACTAACATCATTGATGAAATCCAATGACTCTTATATAGGGACCTTCACGGAGTCATTTTCGGAGTCGCCGTCGAAGTCAAGTAAGTTTCATGTTCATAATTCAACTTTAAGGTTAAAAATTATTTAAGTTCATACTTTTGTTGTCCGACATTTTCTCTATAAAATTACGTATTTTAAGGGATCGATAGAAGTCTCAGCGAGTCTCACAAATCAAAATAAAATACAGAAAAAGTCGGAGTCGAAAGTGACTCCGATTTTCTTTTGTGTTGATGAGGTTCAACAAAGCATTGACGTATCCTTCAAAATATATAGTTTTGTAGAGAAAATGTTGGAGAACAAAGCTATGAACTTAAATAATTTTTAACGTTAAAGTTGAATTATTGACATGAAACTTACTTGACCCCGAAAATGACTCCGTGCAGGTCTCTACTCTTATGAAACCACTAACTTCCCATAATATTTCAATTCAAAATCTAGGTATAGCATGTGTTTGATGGTTTATTATCAATATAGTTCTGAATATGCTACATTCCCGATAAAAGTAATGTCTGATTATCTAGAGGGACTCTATCCGAGACAGATCCATTGATATTCGCATAAGTTTCGATGACATTGAGTTCTACGTCTGAGTAGATTCTCACTCCCTGCTGCTGGTATAGTAACGTGTGAATACTCATAAGAATGCCGCGTTAGAAAAGCTATTGCTTTGATCTATATTATTTAGGATAAAAATGTTATTCGATGAATATTTACCTTTTTTACTGAATATAAAGAAACTTCTTTTTCTCTCTTATTAAAATAATCCCTTTATTTTTTTTTGTTGATAGTGTGTCTCATAGATGCGGAACTACAGTTAATAAATCTGTCGTAAAGATTAAAGTAATGAATAAGAATTGTTTACTCTATAAATGCGACATGCGTAAACATTAAAACTTTATATTAATTATTCTTATTTGACAATTCTTATAGAAAAATATAAACAAACGGAGCATAACTCATCATTATGATGGATAAATATTACAAAGAGAACAATTTGATGATGTTTTCTTAAATTATTAATTATATTAAAAATTTGATTATATTCATCTTACTATTTTTTATCGTCGTTACAATCATTCAGAAATTTCTATATCTTGAGTTTTTGTATCAATTATATCATGAAATGAAATGCAAGGAGTTTCTTTATGAATGTATCTGATATCATCATTAATTGTAAGTTTAAAATAAAAATGTTCGCTGTTAGTTTCTATTCTATGAAAGACTTTAATTCCACGAAAGTTTATTTTCATCATATTTCTTAGATCTCGAATATTATCTTGTTACTCTTGTGCGGTATAGTAATCATTTGAAGAAAAACAATCATTATCAGTTACTAACACAATTATAAAAACAAAAACGTTCGAATAAGAAAATCAGCAAAAAGAACGAGAAGAAGGTAAGATTTACCTACAGAATATTATCTTGTCTACACATCTCAAATTAATTCTATGATGATCTCTTTAATAATTTTTAAGAAATTTCTAAATTTATGTGCAACAGATTAACATTGCCTTCGATATTGATTTGACTTGTATCAAGTATTCATTGTATTATGGTAATACTTCTGCTTGAGAAGATTTTATTTATGCTATGTGAGGTTATATATCTTTCGTTTCTGGTATTCCAGATACTGGCACATTATAAACTGATTCTGAGGCACTGGAATCAGCAGAAAACAGTTAATTTTAGGAAACTAAAATACATCTGATTCTGGACAGTAGAATCCTTTATAATCACTGAAATCAATAGAATCAACTGTTTCTCCATTAAGTTTGTCTCACAAAGGTAAATCAATATGGGCACAGATTTCATCTGTTACAATGTAATCTGACGTTATTTCAATATTCTATTGCTTGGGGTTTATCAAGTTGACTTGACAAATTCATTTGATTCAATGAAACGTTTCATCAAGCTGGATGTGGATTGAGCGATTATAGGCACGAACGCCCACACCCACAATAAAAAAATTCCATATTGACGAAAAATAAAAGAATTGTTTGTCTTTGATCTTTTCTTTTGTACATTTGAAACAATATTTAAATATATAATAATAAATTTTCATTTTATTTTATTCTAATGGATATGAGAAAATCTATTAAGAAGAAGAATGGAGAATTTTTTGTTATTAATGATTAATTGTTTTGTTATGGATTTAATAATACCTAAATCTAATTTTCGAGTATGGAAAAGATTGAATATTTAATAAACTATCTTGACTGTGTCGCTGTGGATGAGGATGAGTTAGATTGAAAACATTCTCATCCAGTCATACGCACCCATACCCTCAAGATGGTTTAATATTATACAGTATAAAAGTAAACTTATTCGAGCTCTAATTTTCTTTATAGTCAAAATGATATGTCGTACAAAGTTTGGTTGTACTGGCTCTTACAGGAATCAAATGCATAAAAAACAAACAAATAAATAAATTTTCTTCTTTGTTATTAAAAGGCCATTTTGTAACTGAATTGATCAAATGAAAAGTAGAATATTTTCCTTATCTCGTAAGTAATTTTATTTTAGAAAACTAGCTATTCAAATCAATCCTATCCACGTACACATGAAAGTGTGAGATAGATGAAGAAAACAAAGAAGATGATGTAATACATCTTCTTTCTATCTATATGTAAGAAGTAAATGAAATTGGAGAGGAAAATAAGAAAAAGAAAGAAGAGATTTAGATCAACAATATGATGGTTACGTGGAAAACAGGAGAGACAAAAAAATAGTACGAATGTTGTTAGTGTTGTCTAACATTTGTACATTAGATATTAGATGAGTTCATAGAAAAAGATCAAAAATGTTAATTTAGCAACAGCAAACCTTGGCACATGATCTTTTAACGGTGACAGTTTTCTTTCTGATGACTTTGCAACATGGTTTGCAGCAGCACACAGTTTTACGTACACAACAGCATGGACCACAGCAACAATCACAGCAAGGGTCGCAGCAAGAGCAACAACACGGATCACAGCAAGAACAACAACAAGGGTCACAGCATGAGCTACAACACGAGCCACAACCGCAGCCACAACCGCAACCACATCCACAACCGCATCCGCAACCACAACCACAGCCTGGCATATTAATAGTAATAATGTAGTGAAGAATAAAACTGAAGTAAGATAAGAACTGGTTTGTGAAACTATGAGAAAAGGTGTGTATATATATACACAGAGGTAGAGAAACGAACAAAATTGTTTTCAGTCAACAAAACAATTAACTACTGTTCTCACATGACAATACTTTAGATACACATGTGATAGAAAATTGTTACTATTCATGCATTACACCAGACATCAAGTACTATTGCATATCATTTCTCACGCATGCAATACAACCAAAAAAAATGAAACTCACACTTATTACCAATGTTTTTCTTTTTGATTTGTTTGAGGGTGTCGAAAACATCTAAATTTAATTGCACTTTGATTTCGTGACCACAATTCTAAAAGAGTAAAAGTCATATGATACACTTTTTTTTATAAAAACAGTGTTAATCAAAGAAAACAAACTAAATATTTTTGTTGAAAAATATTGATTCTCACGCTCTAGTACACACATACTGTAATATCATCAAATTACGTGAATATCATAACACAATGCAACACAAGAGAGAGTAGTGGGAAAAATATATAATATATGAATACAATTACAATAACAGCAACCCTATTTTCATGTATCAGTTGTCAATGAATGCATGTTTCGATGATACAAAGGCACGTAAAAATGAGGGTGTGGGTGTAATATGGATACTGTATTAACCTAGCATCCACATTCACCCCTGAGCTTTAGCTTCATTTTAAAACCTTACAGAGCTTTCTAGCATTCAAAATAGTGGAGAAATCTGTGAAATACTGACAGATAAAACATAAGAAAGCATTTTCAAGAAAAATGCAAGACAGGTTTTTATTTTAGGTATCGGAATTTTTTTTCTTGAAAAATTGATATAGAGATAAATTCAAATAGCTTGAATAATTGAAGTTGAGGGGTGTGGGTGTGATTATCTTTATTTTCTATCAACACTCACACCCGAACAGCGTACAAAGAGCAAGTGGCTGAAGTGTTTTCATCGATGTTATTATTTTTAAAATTTTTGTTTTTTTGTTTAAAAAACAGAAGGTTTTTGCTAACATTGATTAAATAAAGGCTATTGATTGATTGATATAGTATACAGAAAAATCCAAAAGGACAAAACACTGTAAACATCCATCGATACTTTCACCTTGTAATATGTGGATCTGTCTCCAAGTAAATAATTTGTGTTTCATCACCAAAATGTTGACGAAGTCGCTGTACCAAACAGACACTGAAATCTTTGGAATCTAACCTTATTCGTAACTGTTTTAAGTTTAATGTTGGCATTGTTAAAATCGAAAACCATGATTTACTATCACTGTAAGAATAATCGGTTGCCACTTCAAATATTGAGAGACATTCGAGCTGTGTTGGTGGAAATGTCTGTAGCAACAATTCAATATATTCAAATGGAAAAGCTCCTAATCTTACAAGGTGTAAATGTAAATATTTGAGTGAACGTGGTGGATTAGAATTGAGTGAATGTATAGGAATATAGTTATTTTGTTCTTCTATACATGGAAACATGGCAAGACGTTTTAAATTTGGTAGAGCAGCATAGAGCTTATCCAAACTCATTATATCAATGAAACGAACTGAGAAATTAACAATTGTTGTCGAATGAAGAGAAGAGCCAAACCCTCGAGATAATTGAAGTTTATTACCTGTGGCAATAGAACATGACTAAAGTAAAAGACACGAAAGTTATAGAAGATTTTGAAAAAGATGGAAAGAAAGACTTGTCCTTTCCTTAACTTACATGTCCCTCTCCCATTCGAATTCTCTGAAGAAATTGAAAAAGAGATCTTTAAAATCAAGAATATTCAAAAAAAAAACGGAAGAAAACGCGCGATAACTGATTTCTTCCCCTTTTTAGGTAGGTGTTAACCAAATTATCATTGCCCAAATAAACAAGGTTCGATTTCCAGCTCCTCCTGTGAAAAGATTTTGTTTAGAATTTGCAGCTGAAATAAACGAAAACTTTTTTTGCACAAAAACTGTGTTTCTTTCGGGTTGCAAAAAATGCTAACTCCAAAGCTATGCAGTTTAGGCATTTTTGCAATTTTCAACACCATTTCGCGTAGTAAACTCACATTATCAAACACATTTTTTGTCGCTTTTCCATTTACGTGAATGTTTTATAACTCGTTTATGAAGATGAAAAAACTTTCAACTACAGTATTTTTTATAAGAAAGAACGAGAAAAAATGTGTTTGAGTAAGAATTAACTATACGAAACTATTTTAAAAATAGAAAAAACGCCTTAACTGCGTAGCTTTAAAGTGAGCTCAAGGGGAAAAGTGCAAGCTGGAAATCCTCAGCACCTGCTTGGCACATCGGCACGTGCTTGTTACTTCGGCATCTATTTGGCATCTCGACATCTATAAGTGAATTTAAGTACACATTGTCCGCACTTTCCCCTTCAGTTAGCATTTTTTTTGTAATGAACGGAAACGCAATTTTTTTGCAAAAACATTTTTCATATGGATAACAAAAATTTCTCGTTTTTCCCACTGAAGTCCTAAAATATTCTTACATAGGGAAGAAAAGTGAAGAAGTTTTAATGTTAAAGAAGTATTCATGTTTTTGTAGAAATTTCGTAATAAGGATGGCAAATTGCGTTAGACAAATCTTTTTTGAAGACAGCGATGGAGAACTGTATATTTAAAAAAATGTCCCTCAACATCTGCCTGATTAAGCAATCAAAAATTTGAGCATCTGTTATAAAATTCTGAACTTTAATTAAGTTCAATCGAATCAATAAAAAGTAGAATTTTTTATTGTTTTTTATATCACTCTAAGCTACCTCTAAGTTTGGAGATGATTATTTAAATAAATTTAAAAAGCTTGTCACTATTGCTCATGTAGAGCGGAGAAAAAGGGAAAAGTTTATAAATGACCGCGCATTCTATTGAATTCAGTGCTCCAGTTCGACAAAATTTTAACAGTTACGTTAGATTGAAGTAAAAAATACTATTAAGACTTGTCTATATTAACGGCGTGGGTTTAAAGCTCTTTCAAGCGGTAAAAAGAATTCAAAAGTTACTGTACTTTCAAACGCGGCAATTGACTAACAGTTTGATGCAATTCTCGTTCTACTTGTTCGGATATAATTATCACACGAAGATTTAATGTTTTCAATTTTTGAAAATTTGTTAAAGTAGAAAGTATAGATCTAATAAGATTGTCACCATGTGCTAGTTCCAATTTTAATGAAACCATTGTCCCCGGAGATAAACTTGTTAAAAATGCAAAGCTTTTCCGTTGGTCACAAATCAACATATGTAAGGATTGGATTTGCTTAGGATGAATAATCTGTGGAACAAGTGAATAACTTGAGTGTGTAATATGAACTTTAGTTTGTTGCAAAACATAGTTTAGACGGAGATTTAAGTTGTAGAATGCGTGGTATAGAACATTGGCTTCAGTGCAAAATAGATCGAAGATATCACAAATCAATTCAGGACTTAAATCTTCAAATTTTGTTCGCGTTGTTGGTAAAATCGCACTATGATTACCTATGGCTTCTGAAGTAGAAGACAGCGATGAAGGTTGCCCTTCTCCTTCTAGATTTTCAGTAGTAGAAATCATTTTTTTATATAAGTGTAAGACGTCGAAAGGAGCGGAAAAAAACAATCATAGCAAGTTATCTAGAAAATAAAGAGTGAATCATGGGGAAACTAGAAGTATCAAAATTATAAATTGAACTGCTGAACGGATTTAGCCAAGTTTCTGACAAGAAATTATAAAAGAACGAAACCGCTGGGTGTGAGTGTGGGTGTAGGACAATAAGAGACACTCACATCTACACCCTTGTTTCGTTAGACTCCTTAAAATAAATAGAGTAAAATTAGATTAAATTAGATACTTACTGTTCCATAAATATATTACCTTAAATGATCCAAAACAAAATAAAATAATATAATATAATATAATATAATACAATAAAATGATATAATTAGGCATGACCCAAACCCAAACTGTTTCAGTTTGGTGAGTTGAGGATCTGGGTGTGGGTGGATGGGTGTGAGTGTGGGTGTATTGCCTTCTTTATTTTCCCACACTCAAATCTGCACCCCAACCACCCACATCCTCGAGGCTGGTCGTGGTGTTCAAATGAACTAACAAAATCAATGAAGCAAAAATAAATTCAGATTATTGTCAGATGCATTTCATAACGTACTTGTTGTTGTTGTTGTTCTCTGTGAGACTAGGGATGTGCAGTATCAGTATATTCAACATCGATAATATTACACTGACGGCCGCTACATTAGTGGTAATACAGACACTGTTTGAACTGGAGCCACGGTATACACCGAAACTGTGTTCACTGATATGTTTAAATTACGTGTCAGGCTGAATATCAGATAAATCTGTAGCTCAATGAACACAGTATCAGTGCAAACTGTTGTCCCAGTTCAGACAGTGTCGGTATAATACTGACAGTTTTTCAGTGTTTTCACTGAAACTGCATATTCCTATGTAAGACATTGACAATAGTTCTTGCAGTTGTTGTTATAACTTCATAAAGAAAAAGAGAAAGAGAGTGAAAATAGACGTTCATAAGTAAGCCTTTAGTAGTGTAGGAATCATTAGTTCGAATCGAATTTTAAAACATTATAACATATCTTTCGAATTGTGAATAATGCATAATTCGAATCTTCCAGTTTTCTACTATTCAACTAATTACAATGCAGTAGAAAAAATGGTGAGTGAGAGGGACTTCTCTGTGGACGAAGATGTAAGCTTCCGAACGCCTCATACTCACTCTTACCCTCTCATTGTGAATAGTGAAATAACCGAAAAGTTGAAAAGTCGACTATGATCTTTGAAGTATACATATATATAAAGCTTGGTCTAACCAGGAACACATCAAAATCCCACTTACCTTTCGTTGTAGATCCAGTTATATTTGTAAAGCCTCCTGCACTTACTATAAAAGAGATGTAAGTAAGGAATGCAAATTTACTAAATGGTAGTGGTTTCAGTCACGCTGAATTTTAAAAGGCAAAATTACACACTCGTCGTTGTAGCTTGTACTGTTGTCGTTGTCGCAGCTGCCCAAAGCAAAAAAAAGAAAACATTATCTCGAGTATATCTCAATCTTTTATCTATTGTATTTCTTGGACATATGAGTTTATTTACCAAAACTAGTAGATAACAGATTGGTTGACCACAACGTGTACTGTTGACGGAAACTGTATTTTCAATGGGACATGTTCGATTATCCGTACTGGATCGGGCAACATAGCTGAAATACAAATTCCTACACTTGGACTTATAGTCAACGAAAAACATTCACAATTATGATTGGATGAACATGGTGTCTGTTGATAGTTATATGCAGTGAAATTACATTTTGAAATCGTTGTGCTATCTAACACAAGTACACAAGAAAAGAATGAAAATAATTTTAAACTAATTACTGGGTAATTATTGTTCAGAAAGATTTCTATTAGAGAGAAAGATGAGAATGAATCTAATATTCTAAATACGATGTTGAATACTTACACTAAAACTATAATGTAGTAGAAGAGTACCAAAATTAAACTGGAAATTTTGCATCGTTGTAAGAAGTATTTTAAATTCACACAAACAAAATTCACTGAATTTGAAACTACTTTCAACGTTCCTTATATAGATGCTATTGTAGACGAGAATGAATAATGCACTCGGATTTATCCAGAATGAAAAGGGTTTATTTTTCTCTCGAAAAACAATTTCTATTGTACACTGATTTTCATACAGGTAACCGTCGTTTGAATTGTTTGATGTTTACTTACAAAGAAAAATCACTCAAGAATTCGTCTGTTCTCCCATTTCATCAATTGAAAAAATACCCACAGCATCTAATAAAAAACACTTATACGAGCGACTGTCTCAACCAAAAGAACTTTTTGTTTTGACGATCGAAAATTATGATGAAATAAGATGATTTTAGCACTTTGGTATTGGTATGGTGTGGATGCGGGTGTAGGTGGGTGAGAACAAATGTGGGTGTGGGTGTGAGTATGGATGTGGCTTTCGGGATGAGTATGAAACATCCGCACGCACACACCCATACCTCATTTTCAAGATGGTATTTGAAGATGTGGGTGAGTGTGGGTGTAGATGTAAGTATAGCATAATGTGTTATTCAGACCCTTACTTAATCTCTCACCCACACCCAGCCACTGACAGCTACGATAGTGACTTTTTTATGATTTTATCGTGTGAACGGACTGTTTATTGAAGCTGCGCATATTTAAACCATTTGATGCTCATACATTTTTACTGCGTTTCGCGGTTTTTTTCCAACCAACAAATTTCGCCGAAAGATCATTTCAAAAGAAATGTAAAAACAGCAAAATTCTCATAGTAAAGTGAAATAAGCGAAACAACGGGTGCTCTTTTATGGAGATTGAGAGGCTTTTTTCCGTTCTTCTCCTTGTTGGTAAAATGAACACATACAAATACCCACACATGCTGAGTGTAAAAACCCAGCTTATTGCGCACTGTTTCTTTTTGCTTTTTGAATTGTGCACATAATGACAAATACATTTAACAAAGAAATATTTTTTCTTTTTCTCTCAATAATAAAAATAAATACTGGACATAAAATATATTGGCAAATTATTGAAATACATTTGTGCATCAAAATTCATACAAAAAAAATGTGAGGTATGGGTGTGGGTGAGTGTGGGTGTTGGTGTGTGTGGGTGGATGGGTGTGGATGAATGTGGGTGTGGATATGGTTTCTGTGTTCCTTGGGTAGTCTTACCTACACCCGCATTCACACGCGGGCATCCTCTATTCATTCCACACTCACCCACACCCTTACTCCGTTTGATGATTTATTTAGTAAATAAGAGAAAAACCGCACCAAAAAGAGATATCATTATCAGCTTTAGTCTTTTTCTTTGTTGTTTTTCTTATCTACTGAGTCGTCACTTCTAGGTTTCAGGTGTCGAAAAATCCATCTCTGTAAAGAATGAAAAGACTGCATAAGATAATGGTAAGAATATTGATGGAGCAGAAGCCACTTTTATCAGTAGCTTACTCCTTATTTTCTCAGTTTTTGTTATCTTTTCACCGGAATATTTGAGGATGGTTGTGATTATTACTAAGACTCATCTACTCCACACCCAGACCCTCATCAACACCCATACCCGCACCCACACCCTCAAGATCTGAACTTGCAAAGGTAGGTGGTAACTAGTCTTAGAACTTTCCTAACTCTTTGATCAAAGTATGAAGTAAATCAAATGCAAACTAAATAAAAAAAAAAACTTACTAAAGCTTTGTAGGAATAATACAGCTAATGAAAGAAAATGAGCAAAAACACATGCATCAACCTTTATATAATTATTGATAAGTAGACTTGCTTGAAAAAAAATCAAAGCTATCAAAAATAGTTCACATGATTTCGCAAACTACAGATTCATTGCAAGAAGTCTTTGGGATCAGTTTCTTTAATTCTTCTTGAAATCGTTCCAAATCATCTGCAGGCATTGTTATCGTTTGAGAAGAATTCAACATATCTCTCAACTTATTTAGCGATTCTGTAGATTTTGGAATAATGATCGAATATAATTCTTGCAAACGTTGGCCATTGATTGTATCGTTGCCAAACAATTGTAATACACTAGTCAGTTTCTTTTCCAAAAGAAATTTTAGTACTTCCCGTTGCGACCACTGATCGACTGTTTTCTTTTGATAACAATCCTCTGTTTCATCTGAAAATGTATCGTCTTCCGAATTCGTTTCCTGTTCAGATTCAAAATCAGACTCGTAATCCTCGTTAAGCGAGGTACTCATTGGCGATAAATTTAAAATATTGTCAACAGAACTTATATCATCAATATCGGTTCCTACATTCAAGTAAGATGAAATTGAATCAGAATCATCATGATTCTCTGAACGAGAGATGTTCATTGGAATATCTGAGTGATCGATGGGCTGAGATAACTTTGAATATGTAGGTGTATTATCACATATCTTGGAAAATGAAGCAGGCGTTCTGGGAGAAACAATAGGTGGAAGTGCCCTTTTTGGATATATGCCAAAAACTACAGGGTTGTTGTTACTCGAACGACTTGTAGTTTTAGCAGATCGAGGTGAACTTTCTGGTTTCAATGCGTGATCAACAGTTTCCGACGGTTTATTCATCAATTTTGAAGAGTTTTTGTCGATATGTACTTTGGAATCTTTGATTGTAAATTTTGAATCGGTCGATAAGTTTGCTAATGTTTCTTCAATAACTAAAGGTGTGTTTAATCGATTAGTTGGCTTTTCTGGCGTATTTGAATTCTTGGTATCTGTTATGGAATCGGTATTGGTATTTGATGTATTAACAGTATTCTATTAAAAACAATTATTCAATAAGTATGAAGTCTAAGAAAACATTTTCAGTCGATTTTTATTCGTTTTGAAAAGAAAATCAAAATCAGCTCCAGGAGATATATATTTTAACGACTGCGCCTATTTTTAGATATTATACATATTTAATGCCGTGACAAAAATGTACAATATAGTTTTCTTACCGATATTACTGGAACACATGAGCTCGTATTTGAACTTGGTGATCCCGTAGTTTGTTGTTTCTTTTCTTTCATTTTTTGCACAATATCAGAAGCTTTATCGAGAACTTCACGTGTTAAGATTTTATCCAAAATGGAATAATCGGGATTCGTATCCTTGCGATGCCTGTGTAACTGTTCATAAAGATCTTTGAATGCTTTTGAGAAATCACTTTTAATAAAATCAGTATAATAAGTATTACCAAATAAGAGACCAAGCCATCCATTAGGAGTATATTTCTGTTCAACTTTGATGAATATCATACGACGTTTCTTCTTGTACGCATATTCAGCCTCTGATCGACAAGCTTGACTCGTTTTGTATTCACTTGATGCACAGATAAGTATAGTTTCGGATTGTTCAATTGCTTCTGCCATGCGTTCCATTAATGAACCGTACATTTTATTTTTGTCTATCCATACTTGATATTTGCCTGTTTTTATCAAACATTCATGAATTAAGTGACACATGTCGGCATTATCATGAGAATAGCTAATCATAATATCGTAGTCATAACGAGGTACATTTTGTTTTTCAATGTTTTCCTCTTTGATACGCTTTTCTTGAATTTGTTCTAACTCTTCACGTGTCAAACTCTCACGAAGTTTCGATAATCTCATTCCATTAATTTCAACCCAAACATAAACTTGAGTGTGATCCTCTTCAATATTCATAGCCAAATTAGCATCATGATCTACGGATGTACCTCGTTCGCTTGCTTTTCTCAATTGAAAATCTGCTTCACCTTCAACTCGCCATAATATTCCATCCGCACTAGATTTTATTTCTGGAATATTTGATTGTAAAAAAAATTTGAGCTTTTCGACAAATTTCTTATCGATTTTACAAGATTTTGCTGCTTTTGAATCAAAACTGGTAGTCCAAATGAGATCAAGAGCTAATTGTTGGATTGTTTCACCATCAAATTTTTCATGACATGCTGATTTGGTCAATGATGGTAGGCCGCTTTCCTTTACTAACCCATTTCTCATATGCCTATTTTGAATAATTACTACAATATAAAAAATATCAATATATCAATGTATTATAAATGAACGAGTTAGGTGGGAAGTGTGCGAACTCCACGATATGGTTATGATTGGCGAGGAAACGTCAATTATATCTTTATCCTGAGTATCCGTGATGCTTGTTTTTCAAGACAACATTAAGATGGCGGGGTAATCGCGTTTCGTATCGGAAACTTTTGTTACGGATGTTGGAATTACAAAATTGAATTAAATAAGAAAGATATTCGTGATGATATATGTTCGGATGATCGTAAGTAGCATTTACTATTACTCTCTAAGGATCAAGAAGAAAGGACAGAGGACGTTTTGCGACGATTTCGACCCCTTTTATAAACTCGTATAGTTTCACATGAAACTTTCAGGAATTGTAGGGACTATAGTTAGTAGTTACTCCAACAAGTTTCCGCTTGATTGGCAAAAATTTTCCCAAGCGACGGCGCTCTGTCAAATTGGCCCTACTGGTCTCCTATAGAGTGGAAGAACGATTCATTTTAGTCATACTATATGCATATGTCGGTAGTCGTTTTATATGTCATTCGATAGAAAATTTAATTCTAAGCAAAAAATGACCCAACATCTTCGATAAAAAACTAAAAATTGACTGGAAAAACCTTCAAATGCCATTCACCTTTAGTCGGGGTGGGGTGGGTGTGAATATTCTATTCATCCCACACTCACAACCCTTAAGATCTTTTAAAGACATAAAATGAATTGTTTCTTTTTCGATAAATATACGGAAGCTATCATCAACTGATTCTTACTTCTCATAGCTTGAAGTAAACTTCGTAAATGAATGCCACAATGTGTTTGAGTTGAGTTTTCAACCATGTTTGTTAAATATATGGCATATTTTGATGCCAAATCTTCAGGTTGTTGCAAGTTGTCAATATTATCGATTGTTAATGCAAATAGATTTTTTGCTAAAAACTGAATCTTTTCTTCGTTTCTCTTCTTTTTTTCTACATTTGTTTCATCTTGAGTTCTATCCTTATATCTGCACAGAAATAGAATGGTTTCATTATAATCTCGCTTTGCTTTATCATCTTGCATTATATCTTTCAGAACAGAGGCTAATCTTGTATTCAGCGACAAATTATAAAGTAAAACTAAAACCATGTATGTGTGTGATTTATCCGTAATCGAGAAGAGCTTTTGTCCATTTTTATCGGTTTCGATTTTTGTTGATGAGATTATAATATCTAGAAGATCTTTTATAATACTGTTTGGGAATTGATCACGTGGTGTCTTAATTGATGCACAAATAGTCAGAATTTCTAAGTATCGAATGAAAGCATTAGAAGTACGCTTATAGTTACGAATTTCAAGTTTTTCCGACTGATCATGGAGCAATGCAGGAAACCACTTTTGATAGATATATGGCCAATGTTTCAAAAATGGTTCGTGCAGTTGTGTTGCGATTTGCTCGTACTGATTGATACAATACGTCGACGTATATGAAGGACAAGTTTCTGTAAAAAACACAGCACTTTCTTTATCCAAATGGTCAAAACTCTCTATGTAAAGTTTTGATAATAAGCAGCGTAAACAAGGCTCGAAGATCTGCGATTGAATTTGTTCACGCATTTGAGATGAAATATGTAAACAGAAGCAATGAAGTGTTTCTTTTAATACAATACAACGTATTGTTAAAGAAGAGTCTTCTGAAACTAGTATGAGACATTTTCTAAACATCTCGATGAAATGATCGGTGAATAAGCATTTTTGAACAATTTGATGTGTTTTGCCTTGAGATGGCTTTAAACAATTCATAAGAAAACACATTGACTTGAACGTTTTTCCATTGTTTTCAGTAAGTGCATAATTGATTCGACAAGTATTCTCAAATATAAATGAAAATGTTTTATGAAACACTTGCCAAAATTCATGTCGTTCAATCGATTGATGTATTGATTTTTTATAGCCGTTGCCCAAACCTTGACAAATAATTTGCATCGCTTTTCCTGCCAAATCAGACTGAGCAATGTCATCTTCGATAAGGTTCTTCAAATCGTGATATACTGTGCTCATCACATATTTTACAAGATGCTCATCTTGAAGAGATGCATTTGTAATAATAAGTTGGTCAATATCTAATTTTACTCTTTTTAGTATGTTACGTTCTGCACAAGTTGTATTATTTTCCATTGTTGATGATTATGTTAATTATACCTTTCAGCTGCGAATTTGAATATATCTTCAATAAAGAAATTCATAGTTATGATCAGTCGTATTTTTGCAAAAAAAGTTGATAGTAAAATGCCAGAATACCTGCATGTCTTCAACATTACCTTGATTTAGAGGATGAATCGCGACTTTTGAAAAAAATCGACGATCATATCGCGGTGAACAAATGATTATTTCGTCGAAGCCTTTATGAATCAAGATCATTTCAGAAAAACCTGCGAAAAATCACCTATTTAACGATTTACTCGCGATAAGATCGTCCATTTCCACGCAATTTTGGCAACATGAATAGCATTGTATGATATGATG